CATAAATATTAATAAATGTATTTGTAATAAAGCTGAAGAATATTTAAACATCACTTTAAACCATTTCCAGTTTTCCACTTCAGCCACAGAAACACATGTTTTAGTTTGTTTTTTAACAAAACGATATTTAAAGTCATTATTTCTTCTGCTAGTTTCTCAGGTTGCAGTGAAAATGTTTTCAGACCAGCTGGTCAGAGGCCAAACTTTGCTCTCTGCTAAACTCAGAGTGTTTGTAGAACCATCAGCTCCTTCAATCATCTTGATTTCATAACCAGTCCTGATGTTCTTTTGGAGCAGAGCAATTAATAATTCTTATTCCCCTCTTTTTTACAAGAAACAGCAGACAGACCAATGAAGGCTGATTTATCTGGAACTAGACTGTGAGCAGGGGCAGATTTAGGAAATGTGGGGCCCTAGGCAAAGACAGGCAGGGGGCCCTCGGAATGGAGAAGACAACACATAAAACAGACCCAAACTACAGATAGAGAAATGTTAATAGAATAGAATAGACATCCATTATCTGTTCTAGGTTGTGTCCCTCTCTTTTACAATAAACAAAGACATCCATGCTTTGTTTTAATGATTTTTAATTATTGCCTATTTTTAATAAAGCATGATTGTAGACTAGATTAATTTCTTGCTCAACAGATTTCATATTAATATTAATTTCTGACAGAAAGAAATTAGTAAAATACAAAAAGAATAAACCACATTGTCTGTGAAACATCACTGAGGTAATTTAATAGAAAATAAAAAGTTTAGTCACCAACACTGAGCCCTGAGGGACCCCACCTAGATTTATACTTAATTTAGAGTCATGTTGGTGTTTTCGGTGTATTGCTGTCTAGTTTCTAAATATCTATTGTTTAGCTCTAAACCTCTTATTCCATACCTTTGCTGTGATCAGGAGAATCAAAAACCATTTTCAAGTAGATAAAAACTCCGACTGAATTTTATTTAGTCATTTTTGAAGAGAACAGCCCTTTTAACGTGAGTGTCTTATTTGTTTCAGAACAGTACAATATAACTGCAGTACTCAGAAGACACAGCAGATGGCAGCATAACAGCCATTAATAATCATTGAACAAATTACTTTATATTTCAACTTTTTTGTCATTTCTGTCATCTGTGATATTTATTAGTGCCAAAGCTGTTGGCCGAGTACATCTAAAACCAAACTGATTTTCATTCAAATGAAAATATATTTCTATAAAAGGATCAATTTTAACAAAACATTTCTCGAAGACTTTTGAAAACTGAGAGAGCAAAGATATAGGCCTGTAATTATTAAGACTGATCTTAATACCCGATTTAAAAAGCTAGACAATCTTTCTATTTATTCAGGAAAGAAAAGCTGTTTTAGATTTCACCAAAGTAATGGGTTTGTAGCACTTTATTGTCACCTTTCCAACTATCATTAATATATGATGGAATAGATTCAGACCAACATTTACAAAAACTAGAATTAATCTCAACATTTTGCTCATTAATCAAGAAGGATGTTTGACTAAAAATTACTGTCGATAACATCTATGAACACTTTCGACATTCCTAAAATATCGACTTTTCTTTCCAATATCAAATTTGTGTAATAATCTTTATTTGCATGTCTGA